TCAAAGATTCCCTGGAGAAGTTTATCTTGCTTAAAATGTGACATTATGACTATTAGATATCTCCTACTGAGTTTGAGAATCATGCAGGAATGTACCTGTATTCATACAGAGCACCAGTAACTAAAATCTGGGGTTCTCAAAGGCATATGATACCACCTGTATGTGTCTCTGTGACACATCAAAGCCTAAGCAACTATATTTTAATAAAAACATTTATGCAAATATTGCCCTTTCTGAGTGTAATCCTTAAGCTTTATGCAAATGTCAGTAGATGGGATCTCTAACAACAATGATAACTACCAGATGGTTTTTCATTGGGCTTCCCTCCCCACCCCACTCCAACTCTTCCCCTCCCCAACTTCTGCGATTTGAAAATATGATGATTTCATGCATGATTTTATATAGCACTATTCTATAAGAGGCAGTACCATTTTCCCCCCTAAAATATTAAGGGAAATTACCCTTTATTCAAAAAACAGTTGGGAAAGTTGTGATCTTGTCATGAGGTTGTTCTTTTGTGTGGTATCTTTAAAAACTCATTACTCACTCATCTGTATTCAACTCCAGGAGTACATGGGAGGAGGAGGTCTAAACAGACTGTATTTTCTACGCAGTGCCTGCCTGCTCAGTAATGGACATAATCATGAACCCCATTAGCTAAGCAAATGCCTTAACCTAGTTGTTAAAACCATATTTTGTAGCCGCAATAGTAAATGCACCATTTTATGTTAACCTTTAGTCTTTGATTCCTGACCAAAAAATCCTTTCAGCACAAAAACAATTGTCAAATGCGTGAAAATACTTTGAATTCATGGAGCTATGAACTATAAGAGATTACACACAGATTTTGATATAGTATAATTACCTACAGCTGAAAGGGGCAGCATCTCATCTTCAGCTACATATGGGAGATATGGATATACCCCAAAACATCTAGTCATTACTCATATGCAGTTATTTTAATGCTCACAAAGCTCTTTTGTCTAATGAATTGCAGAATAAGAATAACAGAGGTAGAATATACATTTAGGCTTAGCTTGATTTAAAGAAACAAACTTGTAGTGCTGTAGAAAAATAAATAAGAGTAGGGAAAATTAAATTTCCATCCTTGTACTGTCTTTGTTCCCTAAGGAGATGGAGAAAAAAAATGTATTCTGCTATCCAGCCCCAAATATATTGCACCAAACAGTGCACAATGGACCGATTCCACCCTGCTACTAAACCATTCTCTGAGGACTGGGAAGGAGCAGTACCCAGAGGAGCCATCTAATGTGGCTCTGTTCAAAGAGTATCTTTCTTCCCTTTATGCCCCTGCACTGCCATAGTATATTTTTAAAAGGATGTTAAAGAAGTCACTGCAGCAAATTCATGCTGCTATTACTTGTACAAAATAGGGCAGTATGTTCTTTTTTACATTCAGCAATTATTAAACACCTTTATTAAGTAATGCATATGGCAAAACAGGTGATTAGAGCACACAAATGAAAAAGGCCAAGCCCTTCAGCCTTTCATAAAAGATAATACACCTTCTCAAAGTCAATTGATTAGTATTTTAAGCCAAAGCTTTAATCAATATAGTGAATTTCCCTTAATTCCCCTTTTATTTGTTAAAAGTATGCTATGTGTATACACATTTTGAAGCAGCAATGGGTCTTCTTTTATTTTTCTGATTTTTGTGTGCAGTTTCTAAAGCAGGATTAAAAGAAATATTAGCAGCCCAGATTCTGCTATCCAGCCCCAAATGTATATGCTCCATTACTGTAAACCCAACCTGGCACACTGAGTCAGATCAACTCATGCATTTAGACTCAAAACCTCTGATAAAACCTAATTAACTCTCTTGACCACCCTTACTATGTTATCAAATAGAAAGACACATATAATTCCCTTTCTGATTTACAGGGGCAAAATACTTTAGAAATGTATAGAATGCCAGAAGACTCAAACTTGAATCAGATGCATGCATATTTTAGGAATAAAAGACCACACAGACAAGTCCCACAACACCTAATAGCCTCTCTTTTTTAGGACAACATGTTGGATTTCATAGCATTGGGATACAGTATGTATGTAGCATCCCAATGCTACAGTAATCTGAAACAGAAGACACTACCACAACATTTGGTTCAGAGTTTAAATTTTAAAAAATCTATTTAAAACTTGAGGTAAACCTCTAGGCCTCTTTTCAGCAATCCTTCACTGTTCAGCAAAATTCTGAGGCTCTCGCATAATTTTTGCAGCCATGCAAAAGTCCTATTGACTTCAATGAGACTTAAGAATGATCTTAAAGGCTTTGCTGAATAGGGACTTCAAAAAAATGCTTAAATGCTTAGAACTAAATTTGAGCCCAGGTAAACACATAGGAGGAGGATTTAGTTATATAATGATAGGGTGTCACAACATTCAAATCGAGATTCTGAACAGCCTAACTCAAGAGATCCTATTCAGACCTATCTCTACATTCGATGGATGTTGGAAGCAGCAAGTAAGGGCTGCCTCTGTCGTAGGAACCCTTATTTCAATTTACTCAGTGGCCTCTGCTGAAGTTTGATTAACAGTGTCAACTTTTTGTGACTATCTACAAAACAGGAACTCTCACTTCAGTCATGAAACAGTCTCTTGCTCAGGTAAAGCCTAAAAGCCACTCCCCTTAAAAGAGGGGCAAGATTTTAAGGTGCATCTATGCTACACTAACTGCAACTCAGTAGATACACCCAAGCTAACTTTAAACAAGCAACTCAGGTACAGCTAATCAGCATAGATGTGGCAACTCAAGGCTCACCTAGCTTGGCATTTTTTTTTTTACATGAGGTACAGTCACTGCAGTGGAAATATATCCTTGATGACAGCATGGAGTAACTTGCAAAGCATAAAGGGCCCAATCCTATGAGGTGCGAAGAGCGATCAACTGACCCTGACTTCATGTGGAGTTAGGAGCAGTCAGCAGACCAAGGGACAGCTACAAATCTTGAACTTCATGCAAAATTGATTTCAAATTTTAAATATTTAAACCAAAAAGGAGTCTTTGGATAAAGGCAGTGGAAGCACTGCTGACACAACACAATTTTCAAGCCGTTACCTTTGGAGCCTTTAAAGACAATCTTTAAAAACTGTCTTTTGATGTCAGCGGTGCATGCCATAACCCTGTACAGTATCATTCCATACTGCTTTATTGATGGCAGTTTTTCAGGTGTGTGGTCCAAGTTAGGTTTAGCTGACATAAAAGTTTAAAATATGCAAAAGGTTACCTTTTTTTGATGCTTCAAAACTGTCATACAGATTTATCTTTTGGGTGTCATATGTTAATGTGGTGTTTGGCAGTAGCGTTCTGTTTCTGTTGATTGTGTTTACAGCAAATCTGAAGGCTAATTCCTCAGCTCCCATTGGGCCAGATTCCACACATTCAAAAATACCCCCTGGTAAAGAGAAAAAGGGAGAGAGGAGGGGGAAAGAGAGACAGAGAGGGAGAAGCCAGTTAGCCAAAACATGCAGCACACATTTCAAATGATCATTTCCAAGTCAGACACAAATTCATGGGAATTTTGTCCTATTTGGCTCCCTGATACCAATGGAAAACCCTCTGTGACTTCAATGGGTGGTGCATCAGGCCTTGGTTGCACAATAGCAACACAAGTTTTTCAGAGGATCAAGTTCATACAGCTTTAAATTGTAATGTTTTCTTATTCTGCAATCCCTTTATTCATAGGGAATTCGTTTTTTAATTCTACATAATTAAAAAAGGAATCAGTGTATAATAATTTGAACTAGGATTAAATAAAACAAGGTACTGAAATGCAAGAAAAGTGAAGAACTTGTGACATGAATGACACTTCTGATTGCACTTAAGTCCCTGCCATTTCCATACATCATCTGTTTCCTATGAGGAAAAAGATATAAAATGTTTGGATGTCCATTCTCCATTGCATGCTAGACTTTCTATGCAGCTTTAATAGACTAAAGGGGTCTGAATAGAAACACACACACACACACACAATCATTGAAAGTGGGGGACTAAGCAGACTTGTTGGAGTGACTCTGTACCACCCCTTCTCACAGCCTTATGTGAAAGGGTTCAGGTGTGCTCTGCTTCAGCAAATCTCGTCTAGGGATAACCCACTGTACTCAGAATGTAAATTCATCTTCAATGAGGCTGTAATTATGAACACGGTAGGGTTAGAATATGGACACTGTAAAAACAGCTTATAAAGATACCCATGTCCCCGTTCCCTCTGTTAGCACCATTTGTTAACTCCTTTGTTAACTCCTGTGTGAATTCAGTTTGTCCCCTGATTTCTTCCTTCTCCCTAACAAGGCTTTATTGGGGCCAAAATCTGAGTAAATGCAAATGCCTGCACCCATTTTGTACAATCACTAAATACTTGTAGGATCTTGTCTTTTCTTCCTTCTATGTACACATATTTTTGGCAAAAAATGACTTCTGAGGGAGCTGAAACCTAGCACCCTGAATCAGTGCATTCACAGCTGAAAGGTTTTTAGAAGTGTAGTTTTCCAGGGCAGCCACACACAATCTGATAAGGCTTAAATGGAGGACAGCCAAGGGCCACCATGCCTGGGATCATTAATTATGAGTCAGGTTTTATTTCAGCTCAGCAGACATTTTTCATTCACTCTTTTGTACTATCTTGTGCCTGTTCATTTCTGAACCAATGTTGCTACCTGGCTCTACATTACCCAAAAAATTCAGCACTCGGCTGCTTTTCAGCAGAAAGCTTTTGTCAGAGCCTAGATACAGAGAAGCTGACTCAGACTAAACTTTTCAAACTATAACCAGAGTACAAACAATATTGCTGAAGAGCTGAGCAGCCAGCTACCCCTATTAGAAAAGAATGTGCATTTGGCGAGCACCTCAGCACTTCCCTTTTTCATACATTATTAAATACTAAAAGGCTTTTCACTTTACAAGTCTCCTGTTTCTTTCAACCTGCTTCTCACCACAGGATGGAGAATAGGTGTTAATTTTTTCCCTACCGG